ACCCCCGCAGGGACGATGCCGTGTGAGAGGTGGGGAGACGTGTGAGAGGCGGAGAGACTATTAAAAGATTAGGCGGTTTTTCTTTCATGTACGTCCACCATATTTAGATCGTGGATTTGTAGAGCCATGGCTCAACTCGTTGTGAATGCGGTCTAAGTGTCACTTCGGCCAGACCAGTCTCGACTTATTGGGACATTACACCGATGCTGTGGCAAACATCATGTATCAGACAGCGACAGCGATGGCACGGACAGACAGACCAATCAGAATATATACAGACACAATATAAATTCAAAGTGTGTTATCAAGCTTTTGCTTTTACTAAGCCTTCTTCAATTAAATAATGATCCAACAACTTTTCTTTTCTGCTTTAAAGTACTTCTGTTCTAAACAAAATTGTTATTAAAGTTGATAATGATTAAAATTCATGCACATAGTGAAAATTTGATCAGAAAGTAATTTCACGTGGAGAAATCAATTGCATTCACAATTTATTGTGCTAGAACTGGAGAGTCAGACAAGTTATTACAATCCAGAGAAGTCACCATGCAAAGTCAGAAGGACACTGCTGATGAATTCATGTAGGAGGTCACGTACACATCCCTCCCCCATGTGGCTGAAGTTCCAAAATGAAGTCAATAGCCTACTACAGAAGTACCAGTTTGAGCTTTACCAGCAGCCTCCCATGCAGACTCAGCAGCAAGACAAGTTTTATAGACCAAACCCTCCTGCACCTATCTTGGGGCCCAGAAGCCAGCAGTGTACTTCAATGGGATGGCAGGCTCATCCATCACAGTGGACAGCACAGGTCCATCAACTGACTTCTGTCTGGGGCTCCCAGGAAGCCAGCTGGGTGCAGCAACAGTTCCAGCAGCTGCCTCCAGTCAGACCACAGTCTGCTCCCCCCACCTACTCTGCCAGCACCCCACTGACATAGCCTTCACCATCATCCGTCCAGAGCAAGGGCATGGGAAACTTCACTGGCCTAAGGCTTCAGCAGTGGTTCGTACAGCAACTTCATCCAGTTACTCAACACAGGCCAGGATGATGACAAACCAGAACTCAACACCCCTTGTCCAGTTGTGCATTCTCCCCCACCTATCCAGCAGTCTGAGCAGTCAGAATAATGGGAGCCAGAAGTTATTACATTTGTGTGACATGTGGATATGTTTTTTTTTCTGCCATTTTTCTTTTTTCTTCTCCAGACATTCCAATGAATTATAAATATTGTTTTGTATGTAATTTTGTAACTTATCTTTATACTAACCCTTTTTGATAAAAAGGATTTTTAAAAAGAATGCACAGATTTCTCAGAATTGAGCCTCCACCACAGAAAAAACTGAAAACTCCAGGAGAAAAAAGAGAAAGTAACAAACTTTATGATAAAGAAAAATGCATTTCCTTGGCTCATTCATGAACAATACAACAATAAGTTATATTGTAAAGTGTGCAGAAGTGTGTATGGACCTTTGTCTGTTAATTGGCAAGAAGACAGTATGTAATAAATTTAGTAAATATGTTGGTGGAACCTTTGTAACTGGGTCCTCAAATTTCAAGAGAGGTAGTTTATCTGATAACAACACATCACAAGGCTACAAAGATGCACAAACATACGTGGAAAATAAGAAAGGCAAAGCCAGGTGAATCTTCCACTGAAAAGTGCCTACAGAATTTGAACCAAGCTGCATTTGACAGGCTGTCCATTCTGTTTTGCTCATGCTATAGCCATGCACTCCTGCTCCTTTAAACAATTTGTGTGGCTCGCAGACCTTGATGAGGGGAAAGGGTTGACAGTGGGGGAAAATGTACAGAAACCATAAGCAGTGCAAGATATTCATCAAAGCAATCGCTGAAGTAGAAAGGCAAAAGATTGAAGATGAACTAAAAATGCTAAATTTATTTCAGTCTTGTGTGATGGCTCTGTAAATGTCTCAGTGACTGAGAATGAAGTGGTATATACACGCTTCTGTATCAAGGTGTGTTTATTTTGTGGGAATGTAAGCAGTGTCCAGAGCAAATGCACCTGGGATATATAAAGCTATTATGGACTCACTGATATTCAAACATATGCCCTTAACCGGATTCTGAAATGGAAGATGAGATGTTACTTTTTTTGTTGCTGTTGTGATGCAGACGACGGAAGGCAGCAAGGCGTAAAACTTGGTGCAGGCAGTGGATCTTGAGAAGGAAAAGGCAAGGGGCCTTTCACAATTTACTCAAGGAGCTGGACATGGATGACTTTGCTGGGGGCTGCCAGTTTTCTTTGTTTCTGGCTACCGACACATGCTCATTGTTGGCATGACTTGAGCAATCGGTGCTTGCAGCCCATACACGCTGAGCCATTTCCATCGAGAGGCCAAAAATATCAAACATGCTAGATATTTTGCTCAGCTGCGTAAGAGGCAAAAACCACACTAAAATACCCCCGCAGACAATTAGAAAACAGCACAGTGCAAGTGGCGCATGCCAAATGCTCACCGTGTGCGGGGGGCTTTAGGAATAGAGATAGATATGCTGATAGACAGATCCTACTACATGTACTTAGGTTGGTCCAACTCTGTATGAGATCCTTATACCTTTACTGTCCGACTTGCCTCGTCTAACAGTTAGGAGGTAATTAATCTGAGCAAACTTCAATCTTGCATATTATCCATGGTGCATTCAAGGATGGTGCCCATATTTTCGACACTGATCAGATCTTGACCAATTTACACTGGCTATTCAAAGACTCCCCAGCAAGACGACAGGATTTCAAAAATACGACAGGAGTAAGCGATTTTCCCATGAAGTTCTGCGATCATGGATGACTGGAGAATTTACCGGTTGTTACTAGAGCCCTACTCATATGACCATCTATTAAACTATACGTAGAATCTGTCGAAAAGAAGAAAATAAATCGCCCCCAAAACAAGTCATATTAAGTTATCAAAGACGGCTGCAACAACCCTCTTACTGAAGCTAGCCTAGCGTTCTTCAAGAGAATGGCAAAATCAATAAACCCCTTTCTCACCAAATTCCAGTCAGATAAGCCAATGGTATCATTCCTGTGCAGTAGCATGACGGATCTTATAAAATTGTTATAGTGTAGAATAGAAAGCTACATTTTTCATATAATGAAAATCAGACCCTGAATGACTATTGAAAGACTAAGAATTGTTAAAGAAATAGTCAAACCACAAATTTGTTAGAATAATTAAAATGTTTTACTGAAAATTTTGTGTTTTCTTTAGGCTTTATAAAATATGACTGTATTATGATCTCAAACTTAATATTCCCTTTCATAAAATATAATTTACAGCTTCAAATATTAGAAAGTTTTTACACCTGAAAATTTAAAAATAATCCTGGAAAAGTCCTGAAAAAATCCTGAAATTTTGTTGAACCTTATGAGTTGTGACGATGTAGTGCGTTAGTTGAGATTGTTTTACATTGCTACCGGTAGATGTCTCTGTAAGTAAAGTGTTGTCTGGTGTGCAAGTATGAATCTCTCCCGTGATTGGTAACTTAAAGGTAAAACTGTTCACTGTATAGTTGGTTCTGATTGGTAAACGTGTACTATCTGAACTTGTATATAAGGTGTGACTTGAAATAAATCGGCCTCTTCTTTGGGGTCTCTTACGGCTTCTTTTAGTGCATCTTGGTCTTCCTTGGCTTTCACGGCTCCCTGTTGGTTCTTAGGATTAGTGAATTACACCAGTAAGTGCATTGTTATTTGTACCTTCATAAGGCACTCGGCTGCGAAGGCGTAACAATTGGCGCAGTCGACAGGATAGAATTTTGTGAAGCTAACGTTATTAGAGGATAGAATTTGTGTAGCATATGTTGTTAAATTGACAGAATTCAATTTGTGTAGCTAACGTTGTCAATTTACAGGATAGAATTTGTGTAGCTTATGTTGTTAGAGGATATAGTTAGTAGTTATTAGTGATATTAGAATTTTTGAAAAGCTTTGTGTATGACTGAGTGAGAGTTGGAAAGATAGTGACACGTGTTAGACGGGACTTGTTGCAAGACGCGAACTAGTCGGAACATATTGCAGTGATATTTCATTTTCATTGTTTGATACTCGTGGCAATTCAGTAAATATTTTCAGTTTAGAATTCATTTTAGTAGAGATATTTTGTATTAATTTTCCGTTGTGATACTACACCCGCGGAGATATAGTGGACCACGTGTAGTGAGTAGTAGTCGGAAAGACCACGTGTACGGAGTAGTAGTCGGACAGACCACGTGTAAATACAGGCCCGTGCGTGTAGAGCCTTATGTTGTAATTAGAATACAGCACATAACTTAGTGAGTTTATTTACAAAGAAAAGCATTTATTTAGAATAAAGGTTTCAAATTTGTGTTTTTCACTGACTTGCTGAATGAAGGAGTGAGTATGAATCGTTTATTGTATATTTTTATCAATATTGCAATAGCATATATTGATAGAGTACTATTCTACCCTGTTCGTCTGTGTTGAAAGTGTTTTCATCATAGGTGTACATGTGAGAAGGTTGAATAGTGTGAGAGATTTGTTTGTATTTACTGTGAAGTTTAGTAGTGGCTTTTTGGTGAAACTTTCTTCAAACAGTAAAGTGTGGTAGTGGTGAAAGTATTTTATTGTGTAGTTTTTGTGGCACAGCTGCATTGCTATTATCAATAAAATTGTGTAATAGATTGCGGGAAACTGGAAGTGAAAATGGCGTCGGGTAGTGTAGAAAGTAGTGTTGTGTTGAATGTGCAGACAGCATCTGAGACAGAATTGAAAAATTTGAAAGGAATTGGTCCAGTGAAAGCTCATAGATTGGTGTCTTTGAGAAATCAAAAAGGAAAATTGCTGTTGAGTGATTTGGAAGAAATTACTGGTATTAGTGTGGCAGATTGGCAGAAATGGGAAAAGAAGGGTATTGTGATTTTGGGTGTAATGAAAGAAAAAGATGAAGGTTCAAAAGTTGGAGATGAGAAAAAGGAAGAAATTGTGAATTGGGAAGAAAAGTATAGAAAGTTGATGGAGCGAGTGAAGGTACAAAATGAAATGATATCAAATCTTCGAGATGAGGTAGAAGAAGCAGGAGAAAAGATAGAATTTTTATCTAGTGAATTGGAGATGAATGATGCTAAAGTGAAAAAGTTGGAAGTTGAAAATCCAGAAATGGCAATTGATTACAAAAAGTTGAAACAAGAGAGGAATGCTTTGGAAAATGAAAAGAATGCATTGGAAGATGAGAAATCCGTGTTGGAAAATGAAAAGAGTGCATTAGAAAAAGAGAAATATGCTTTGAAAAGTGAAAAGTATAGTTTAGAGAGTGAGAAGTGTGATTTGAAAAATGAAAATGATATGTTGAAAGAAAGATACGGAAGCCGACTGGTGCCATATGTTGAAAAAAAATTTATCTCAAAATTTCGAGATAGCGTTTTGAAATTTGAACAAAAAAAAATTTATCTCGAAATTTCGAGATAGCATTTTGAAATTTGAACAAAAAAAATTTCATCTCGAAATTTCGAGGTAGCATTTTGAAATTTGAATAAAAAAAAAAAATAATAATAGATAATATACCCACAATGCATGAGGGATGTGAAACCGGAACTACACGAGAAAGCCACATGCTTCACACTCATTCATCTTAGCCTATCTGTTATGCCCGAAAAAGCTGTTTTTTTGTAGAGTCACATAAATTTGACCAAAGGGACTCAATTATTTCTGCCAACGGGAAGTAACGATATGGACCAGGATTTGGAAGACTTCATGAGGGGAAGAGGGATTAGCGACACCCAAATTAATAAGCTATTGGAAGAAAAGGTATGTTTAGACACGTTTAGCAGCAGAATTTTTTGGATTTAAAGGAAGCACTACTGCAGTAGTTAGAATCCTATATCGTTATATCCTATATCGTTAGAAACCTATAGTATATTGTAAAAATATACCAGTAGTACGTGTTCTTTCCTCAGAATGGAGTGCATACATTGTACTGGTACTACATGTAGTACTCCCAGGAGTACTACATGTAGTACCAGTACAATGGTACTACTGGTACCCGTGATCACAGTTCACGGGAAGTAAAATTCACAAATCACAGTGAATAAAAAAACTAAAAATTTCGAATCACCGGGTATAATTATCGCATTCCACGAAGGTCACAGAATAAAAAGTTGCATTCATGTGTCAGGGAAATGGGGAGCTTCACAGATGGGACCCTTGTTTACCTCTGACATTGATATCTGAGCAAGAGATAAAAGGCACTCTGAACTTTTTGTTTTATTATACTGATTGTCCACCAAATTATTCTAGAATAACCATCTCAGTGTTAATACAAACATGTCAACCATTGACGGACCTATTCCCATACATTTTTACGCAATGACACAACCAGCCATCCAAGGCTCCTATCCAATTTTATAATTCAGGGCTCAACATAGGTACTGGCATTACTTGCCTGGTGCAAAAAAATCTGATCAAAAAACACCTCACTGACTTTTTTTATTTTATATCCATTGATGTTTTAGTGCTCTCCACAATATACTCTCACTCCACCCTCTATATCTCACATTATAAACAACCCTTTATGCATTAATTTATTTTACTGATACAAATGTTGTTCTCCAAATTTTTGGTGTGTTTATTCCTCTGTATGTGAGTGATGTTTAGGCAAAAAAAAAAATTAGGATTAAAAAAATAATAATTTAGGAAAAATAGTAAAAATTAGTAAGCATCTGGGAAGGACGTGAAATGGACATGGAATTTTAACTTTCAACTTTAACACCAAAACTCTGCTCTGTCTGTGGAGATATTCTAAAAATCAAAGCAAAATATAAATATTTGATTATTTCTCTTTCTAAATATGTGTAAAGTGTATTTCCAAAATTTTTTTTAATTTGAAAATTTTGCAGATCTATATAAAAATCAAGTAGGCATCTGGGAAGGACACATTTGGGAAGGACATTTTGTCCATTGCTAAAAAAATGTGAAACAAGGCTAAATAGAAATATTTAATGATATATTTACTGTACCAAGATAAGTTTGATGAATGACATCAAAAGTAAGCAGAGTCTTCTATGATCATATATTTCATCACCAAACATTTTACTATTTTTGGCTATGATAAAAGGTCTCATCTTCTATGATTATAATTGAATAGTATTGTGACATTTTATAGTAAGTCTAACCAAATTCATTGATTAAAATTTTATATATTGTCTAGATTATAATAATTTCAAAATTATTCATTCAAATGAAATGTTTCAAAGTTAAAAAATATTTGGTAGATAATTTAAAGTTCTAGATTATCTTGAAAGACATAAGGGTTTGGGTGTCATTGGTCACATGACCTCTTATTGTCCTATCAAAATGCCTCATGCCCTAACAAAATGCTGGGTGTTATTCTGAAATGATTATTAATTTTTATTTAATTTCTCATTGAAATGTTTCTTATTAAAATTTCTTTCATGGGTTGTTGACCCATGTCATGTTTGAGGAGAATGTGAAGTGAAAAATTTTTAGCTTTTGTATTACTGAGAAAGCTTAAAAAATACCGGTAGGTACCAAAATCATCTGGGAAGGACAAATTGATATTAATTAATCCATTATTTCCTAATTAAATAAATTTTCATCAAATGCTCTTGGCCAAATATGGGAAATAACCTATATTAAATGTCTTAAGCCTTTATTATTAAAAATGATCAATATTTTGAAAACCATATCAAAAATAAAAATGTCCTTCCCAAACACTATTTTATAATTTTTCCAGATAAAAGTGTCAATAAAGTCATAATTAATCATCAAAACCTAAAAATTATTTTGGATTCTGGTGTCTTGGGATGTCTGATTTCAGAAATTGTAAGTTTTGTAAGTAGCAGTCTTTTTTGAAATTTTAAGGTCTGCAGACCAAATACCACGGAATGGCCCTTAAATAAATTTTTAAAAGCACTCCACACGCCACAGGCAGCAGTGACCTACTTTTGGTATGAAGCATGTGTAAACAACTATGACTGTGAAAACTAATTACTGTAGCCATGTATAAAATTATGTGGTCTGTGCCACAGTGTGGACACCTTCAAATGGTGCAAAGGCAAATTTATTTATATAACAGGCTGAGATAGTTACACTTTATCTTAAAAATACATAGCCATTCCACATTTTGCAATTATGGCAAAAGTAATGTATTACTAAGTGGCTTAGCTGTGAACAGCCTTTTAAAGATACAAGTAAATGTTTTTGTGAGTGTCAGTGTACATACCATTTCCCTCCATTAATAACATTCCTTTTCTATTGCAGATGGACAAGGCTGTGATAGAAGTAGCAGATGATGCCCTGTTGTCAGCATTTATACCAAAACAAGGGGATAGGATTGCTATCAAGCAGTTTTGTCGTACCAGTAAAACCAATGCGTCAGTGAATGCAAAGAAGAACACACTGTTGAGTTCCTTGAGACAAAAGCTTCATTATTCTCAAAAAAGTGAAAGAATGCCAAACAAAGTCACAAATTTAGGCAAGAATAGTAATGCAATGAAGGCTACTCGCAAAATTGAAATTGGATGGCTTCACTTTGATGATGACAGCTACAAGCAAGTAAAGGGGAAAAAGGGAGGTGGCAGTAGGAAGGTTGATATTTCCAAGTCTGCTAAAAAGGGAGAAATAATCGAAGAAGCAGTGAGGAGGTTTTTTCCTGAGGGAAAGTCAAAACTGGGCTCAGTAGAAGACTTTGACATTAACCTGATGAATTTTTCAGAGGAAATTATCACCACTGATGTCACTGTTGGGGAAATGTATGATAAAACTGGTATAAGTCTTTTACGGTTTTACATGGCAACAAAGAGGCGTCAAAGTCATGAACCAACATCCTCTCGGAGCCCATTTTTCACATCCAAGGAGGAACAAAAAGTGGTGACACCTGCAGAAACAGAAAATCCATCAACAATGCCTATAGAAATGTCACCTGCCCAAAAGAGTGATATTCAGGATTCACAAGATTTCCTTGATTCGCCAATATGCTTTGAAGGTCATTATACTGATGGTGAAATCTCCTTTGATATACCAGTACACAGTGAAATGCCAATACTCACAGAAGCAGAAAATGCTACTGCTGTGGTGGTAGACGATGACACCATGCCACAGAATGAAGGGCCTTCTGTTGTGTCTATGGCCGCATTGAATGATGCAACAACTGAAAAAAGTCCATATTCTGTTGAAATGATAGTTCACATGGGGACATCTTCCTTCTTTGAAGTTATGTCTTACTTTAAAGATCCTGAAATATCAGATAAACTCATAACAATCACCAGGATTCTAAGTAATGGTGAGAGGGAAATAGCAGAAGATACTGGGGGAGTTCTCCGCGACGTGCTGACTGAATTTTGGCAAACTTTCTACCAAATGTGCACGGTTGGCCGTGAAGTTAAGGTTCCTGCTCTACGCCATGACCTAGGTGAAACTGAATGGCAGGCAATTGGCAGAGTCCTTCTGTATGGGTTTAAGTACACTGGGTACTGGCCTATCAAGCTTTCAAAAGCATTTCTCTTTTCAGTCATCTGTAGTAATGAAGAAGAAGTCAAATCATGCTTGCTTGAAGACTTTTGGAAGTTTGTTACAAAACCAGACATGGAGGTTCTTCACCAGGCCTATGAAAACTACACACAAGTTGATGAGGATGAATTATTGGACTGTCTAGAGACATATGAATGTAGAGCAAAACCAAAAGAAGACAACATCAGATCTGTAATCCTTGAAATTGCACACACGCAATTGATCCAAAAACCAACATTTGTTGGTAATTGCATGAGGGAATGTCTCTTGGATGCAAAGATTAACCCCAACAAAATTGAGGAAATTTACAGCAATGTTTATCCCACTTCTCGAAGAGTGATCAAGTCTTTCAAATTTCCTGAGTTTATGGATGCAATGGAGTCAGAAGTTGCAAAACACATTAAAAGATATGTCAAAGACGCAGATGGTGACAAATTAGGACAATTCCTAAGATATTGTACAGGATCAGATCTGTTAACAGTGCCGCAGATTTCTGTGGAATTCTCATCTCTCACTGGTTTTCAGAGGCGCCCAGTAGCACACACATGTGGGTGTGTCCTCCAACTTCCAAGGCTGTACGAAAGTTACATGGACTTTAGGTACGAATTTGATAACATTCTAAACCAAAACATATGGGTTATGGACATTGTGTAAGCTACAAACTAAAGAAGAAACTAATGCCTCGATATACATGTAGACTGTCCAAAAGTGAAGCAGTATTAATATCTGGATTGTGCCTGGTTGTTTCTGACTTTTGTTGAAAAGGGAAGTTGACATTTCATGGTCATTAAGGTAAATGGGACGTGAAGCTTACTCTAAATATGATGTTGAACAGAGCTGCAGTTTTTCCTTGTTTTTGAAAGTGCATTAAGCCTGTTTCATTTTACACTTGTACTGCATGTAATGGCATCCTTCTTTTAGTCAGCGAGGATTTAAGACACTTGGTTTATGTCTGACAAACATTTTTATACTGGTTTTTATGTTCATATGTGTAATTTTCATTAATAATTTTCTCTTGTGATCAAACATTGATGATAAAAGTGTGATCATGCTACAAAACATAATGAACTGTTGGTTTTAAAAGTGCTTTGTAAGTTTATGCAAGTTGCAAGTGATTTGTCTATTTTTGTTGACACACCAAAGAAGTACCCTTTGTTCCATGTTGTTAAAACATGTTATGGGCGTTGTCATAATATTATATTATAACCTTTGTGCTCTGAACCTCACTGTTCATGTCTCTTGTTGATGGAATGGAATATCCATATCCTGGTCAGTCTGATACATATAATGCTTGCGTTTTTAATTTCTAGTTTGATTTAGCCAAATTTTCTGCTTTTCATTTTACACTTATATTACATGTTATGGTAGAGCTCTTTTGGTTAACCAATATTTCAGACACTTGGCTGATATCCAATAGAGATATTCTAATATTGCTTTTAGACACTTGGTTAATGTCTGACAAACATATTTTGATATTGATTTTTATCTTAATATATATGTGTAATTTACCATAATAATCCTTTTCCCTTGTGATCATACAATAATGATAAATTCAAAAGTTTAATTTCTGAATCACAAAAGAAGTGTCTTTTGTGCATTGTTTTTAAAACATTATGGATGTTTTCATTATAATAGCAATCTTTGTGCTCTACACCTGATGGTAGACCGGGTGTTTTTCTTTTTGTTAATAAAAGTTACACTAATAAAATGATTTTTTTTCACTTTTATTTTTGTTTTGGGGTCAATTATAGAGTAAAAGTTGAATAATATATTGGATATCAATCCAAGGATCAAACTGTGGGTTAAAGTTTCATGCCAGGTATGTGTCATAGCGCAAATACTGAGAGAACTATNATGATTATATGCAGTATTGTATTTGGAGATGTTTTAACATCTAAAACTATTTAAAACATTAAAACTATTTAACGCCATTATGTGAGATTAAAACAAAAAAGAAATGGATTCTCGACTCTTAGAAAGACCCAGTAAATATAAGAAGCGCTAAAGTTAATTATGCATTACCAACAATCAATTAGTCTCATTTCAGCAGCCGAAACAGATAGAACTATAAAATGCTTTAATACCTGGACCAAAGTCATGAAGCAGAATTGGACGAGGCTTGTGTCTAGCGGGTCTCCTGCAAAATCCCCAACATCCTTCAATGCTTTCAGAACATCCATCCAAAATTGTATGCATTCTTTACGCAGCATACACCAAAAGGCTTCAATCCGCTGGTTGTGAGTGCTCCGCCCATAAATAAAGCTATTCTGCTCCGACAAGAACTCTTGCATCTGTGCTACATGACCGTTCTCGGTTCCCATGTCTCCTTAGTTCAGATTTTATCGTTGATAAAGCAAAATGACACCTTTGTTTACTAATAATCTGTACTCAAGGCCTCATGGCTCTATAATAAAAGCATTTAAACCAAAATGATGACACCGGATTGTAGCCTACATATATACACTCCTGGTCAGCTCTAACAATTTCGTGATAAAATCTAGTTCAGGGACGAAATTACTCTTCATACCGATTGCTAATAAAAAAATACAAAGGTGTTAAATTGACGATTAAAGCTTTGAGTTGCCTATGCTATTGAATATACATCGAAAAGAAAAAATATAAAAACCGATATTTTACATTTCCGGGAGTTTTTTCATTGTTTCAAATCTGCACAAAGACAGATGCATTATTGAATAATTGGATGCAGGAAAAAACTCTTTCGTTATTAGGATGATAACAAAGGGTTACAATGTCCTTAATTTTAAAAACAAGGCGGCAAAGCTATTTTCACAACTGGTTTAAGTGTTATAGTAATCTCACCTGTCATCCCTCTTTCCCTCAAAAATACTTCCAAGCCCTGGTCTATATCTTTCACATCCCTTTGGTGAAATAATTGAGCCCCTTTGTTCAAATTCATGTGACTCTACAAACAAAGCTTTTTCGGGTATAACAGATAGGCTAAAATGAATCCTTTGAATGTAGAGCATGTGGTTTCCTCGTGTAGTTCCGTTTTCACATCCCTCATGCATTGTGGGTATTATTATTATTATTATCATTTATAATCTGCAGAAGCGACTAAATAATAATTTGCTAGTTTTGATGATTATGCAAAAATGTTATGGCGTAAACGGGAGTCGTCTTATTCTAGCTGAGGTTTAGATGGTGTGAAAACGCATAATCATTAAAGGTGGGGAAAGTAAAGCGCCGCACCGCGCCGTAAAGCGTCTGAGCGGGATAGATGTTATATATATCACTTGTAGTTGAGGGGAGGGAGGAGGAAACAAATTTTAAGATTTCTTACCTTAACTTTGTCTATTGTTATATCAAAATGCTATCTCGAAATTTCGAGATAATTTTTTTTTTTGTTCAAATTTCAAAATGCTATCTCAAAATTTCGAGATAAAAATTTTTTTTGTTCAAATTTCAAAATGCTATCTCGAAATTTCGAGATAAAAAATTTTTTTGTTCAAATTTCAAAATGCTATCTCGAAATTTCGAGATAAAAAATTTTTTTGTTCAAATTTCAAAATGCTATCTCGAAATTTTGAGATAAAAAATTTTTTTGTTCAAATTTCAAAATAGTATCTCGAAATTTCGAGATAATTTTTTTTTTGTTCAAATTTCAAAATAGTATCTCGAAATTTCGAGATAAATTTTTTTTTTCAACATATGGCACCAGTCGGCTTCCGTAAAATCCCGACCACAATTCGACAATTCTCTTCATTTGAAACGACCAGCAATATTTTTCATGGACCAATAAGCGTGCCGTCACTCTTGGGATAATCTTTCCCGGATATATATTTTGGATAGCTTTTGTTCCATTTGTTAACACATCTTCTCTACTGCCCATTTCAATGCACTGCATGTAGTTTGTACATTTATATGGGTTGATAAAGTAAAATATATGCTTACATGGACTTTATGTGTGTAGTTATTGAAAAAAAACAACGCTTCTAAAGTACAAATATAATTTCTCAACATGTAATCTCTAAAGGTTCTTGAGCACTCGTTAAGGAGAATTTCAGTACGAATATCATAGCAATATACGTGTACTTCACCTCTGTAATATCATAGCAATATACATGTACTTCACCACTGTAATATCATAGCAATACACTTCACCTCTGTAATATCATTGTGTTTTAAGGAGGGTGAAGTGTCTTAAGGGTATTATGTTTAGATTAGTGTTATCAATCAAAACCAACGAGTAATGAACCTGCCAAGTTTCCTGGTCTAGACCATTATGTTCTATAGTGTAAGTTAATACATCACTAAGGGACGGCTCATCATTTGAATTGGAGGGGGGAGGAGAAAATGTCCCCCCCCTCCCAACCAAAAAATAGCTGAAAAAATCCCTGATAACATTCAAATTTTTCGGGATCTCCCTTCCACATTGATTGAATAACTCGGCCACCCCCTCAATAAAACTAGTGAAAAAGTAGTGTGAAATTTATATTTTTCACTATGTCTTGTACGACAAGTCACAAAAATTATTTTTCTCAAGAACCCCTTATTATTTTCAAATTTCGAGACCCCCCAATATTTGCTCGGAAATTTTCAGGCCCCACATTTTCTCCTCCACCTCCCCCCTCTAACTTAAATAATGACCGGTCCCTAAGTGGCGTTTCAGCCGGTGTCATTCCTTTTCCACCGCTTTCCCACGCGTTCACATATCTATTGATAACTTTTAACCTTCCTGGTTGAATCGATGCCATGTTATGAGTACATCGTCATTGGAAACGCAACACAGATGTATACATGGTGGTCCATAAAAAACTACCTATATAGCTTTCCATCTCAATTTTGATGTACATATAATTAAGATATTCCCAACTTTCTTTCGCCAAATTTTTCCATAAATACGATTTTTTTATCCTTCCACATTCTGCAAAAATTGGAAAAGTAATCAAATTTCAATTGATAATGTGTTCTATCCACACTCCTCTCTGCTGAATAACGACGGCCACACTAACGTTGAAATTTGCATTTGCTATTGTAATCATGTCAGCCGGACTGTTCCTTACTTTGTCTCGAATGTTAGTCTTCAGAGAGTCTAGAGTTTGTGGCTTTTAAACAGAAAATTTCCTTAAGGTGACCCCCAAAGGAAGAAATCTGGGGGGTTGAGATCTGGCGAATAGGGTGGCCAAGGAAAGTCCGTGCGGCGTGAGATGATGATGATTGAAATTTGACTACCTTAAAGGTATCAATTTCTGCAGAATTTGCAAGGATAAATTGGTCATCCTAATGGAACACTTTGGTGAAATAAAGTTGGATATATCTTATTTATATCAAATTTGAGATGGAAAGAAATAATTTTGGACCACTCTGTAAATAGTGGAGATTGAGACAAACATATTAAATTAAGCTTCTGTTCTTCGGGATAAATAAATATTAAGTAGGTTTTCTCTCTACATTTGTTTTAGGACCATTGTGAATATTGCCTGCAATATACATAAAAAGAAAAATCATACAAACTATATCACTCATATCATTATCGGTATTTGTTGTGTTAAATACATTGTCAGTGGGACATTGGGGCAAGGCAGTACATGGTAGGTGGGTGTTCACTTTCATAGAGGAAATTACACTTTTGGCGACGTATCCATAGAGATCAAGTTCTTGTTCAAAGGGTCTGGGGAGGAAGGGGGACTTTCTTCTGTGAGCGCAATAGTGTGTCTTTTTGACCTTTTAGAATGGTTGAAATAAGTTCACCGCATCTGACCCTGCATGTACGCACGCGTTTACAAAAAGGGTGGATAAAATAATTCATACATAAAGCATAACGAGTAGGATGTTGGTATCTGGTGCATATTTTTTAAATACACATAAAGATCGCTATGGCAAAGTATAAACATTTGGGTGGAAGAAAAATAACTTAATTGATTAAAAGAAAACCGTTTTTCTTTTTCTTTTTTTCTGAATTAGAAAAAACAATGCTTGTAATGTTATATTTTAAACTATTGTCCTGTGGTGTCTCGTTTCAAATTTGAATAAACGTTTTCAGAGCGTCGATCCCTAAGTCAGCCAAGATAGAAATGTTGATCTTCTAACTCTCCTTCTTGATAAGATATACTTTTCATTGGAAGTATAACGATAAACTAGATGATTAAATAACCTCACTCGAAGGAGAGACATGGAATCGACCGGAGTTGGAGGGAAATTCCTCTCCGTCTTTTTCATAATTTTCGGGACTCTTTCGGCGATTTCAAATGCTTATACTGTCATATATACCTCGCCTACCACGGATTTGACGTTACGTTTATCAGATCAACCGTTCCACGTCAACAATTCCATCCCTGTGCCGCCAGGGGTAACGCTGAATGTAGAACCTGGCGTTACCGTTAAATTCGGCCCGGCTGTCGGTGTGCGCGTTGAGGGACGGCTTTTGGCAGTGGGACAACCGGACAAACGTATACTTTTCACGGCTGCAGACGAACCTAATGTTGAAAGGGATGATAAGCAGCCACCTATTTGGTTTGATGGTGCACGATTGGCCGGGGACTTCACGGAAAGTCATCATGGACGCCTGGAACTTTTATACCAAGGTATCTGCAGAGTAGAAATTACTTTCTTTGTGTTTTTGGAGCGTTTTAACTTTCTTTTTTATATTTTATTTATTTATATTTCTTTTTTTGTAAGTTACAAAATGTTAATTATGTGTTACAACCCTAGTTTTCATTATTAGAAAATGACGGAACAAAACTCTCACCTCGAAGTTGGGGGAATGAAATCCGTCTACATTTCCTGCAAAGCAATTAATATTTCCCAATTCAGACCTTACAAACTGTTACAACAATAATTGGTGCTGCCCAGTTATTTAGAACTATGTCAAAAAATTAAAAATTAAATTTATGTTCTACGTCGGATCCAAGTGCAGTCGAGAAATGTTTCGTCAGGGGGAGAAAAAATTATTCCCTTCGAACATAAATATTGGTAAACCACATAAAGAGTACATGTAATCATTATTTGGCTTATTATCATAGGAGCCTAGTGGATAGGGGCCAAAGCGAAATTACTATCCCTTCTCACATATTTAAATACATCAGTTATAAATGCAAGAGTCTCACCCCTCCCCCCCCCCCCACGACCACAGACAGGCGTTATTCTTTATTCGTTTTGAATTATTAGCCCCCATCTGACTTTCTACTAACCTGAATATTCATTTCCACAAATGTTTGTTAAAGAGTACGTATAATTTTCCCCTTTCAGGTAGTTTTGGCACCGTTTGTCGGAATGGCTGGGATAGCTCCTACTACTACAACATCAACAACAACAACAGAGTTGTTGCTAGGATGTTGGGATATAAAACATGTACCAAAGTATATAACAGAGGCAGTGGCACTGGAAGTATTCTTCTGAACAACGTGAGATGCGATGGACATGAGAGCTCCCTCTGGGACTGTCCTCACGATGGGGTCCGTGTGCACAACTGTTGTGAGTATCTTACTGACCTGTTATCTTTATTCATGTATTTACTACTTTTGAGAACTATGATATTGCAATTGTGTAATCTTTTATAATAGCCTAAGGCCAACGTCAGGGATGTTTCTTTGTTTGGTGATTGTCAGAGTGATCTATCACGAAAAAATTAAACTTAATAATCAGGCCCTTTTTTCACTGCTAACCACAGAAAAGATAAACTCGACACTTTTACAGACGACTGTGTCTACATCATTTATATTAACCTAATTTTTTGTTTGTTTATTTGTCCATTTTATTTCGAACATGAAAGTTTGCACATGTATTAAATGGAATATAATGTAAGTTCAGGTATTAATATCACTAGTATTTTGTCTTTAAGTGATTGCAAAAGTTCTCTTTGTGCAGTGTTTGATACATTCCTGACAACCGGAGGAAGTTAGACAAACTTAATTAGTTAGACAGTCAGACAGACCTTTTTACCAAAAAAGACAAAAAGTGAACTGTGGTCACAAGTCTGCTAGAATGGAAAACAACACAAATCATTTTCTATTTTACCAGTACCGATGATGGAATTTGGACCATTTACTCCACGTACGACATGCGCTCATTCTGGTCGGTTTCAAATAGCTGTTGTTGGTACGTTCTTAAACATTACGTACAATGTGGGCATGGGTGCTATATACCGATGTCAAATGTAGGAGGTTGACCATTTGATTTTTATCAGGTAGTTTGTAAAGGGTTATCATGATTTCTATACCGCTCTGTTATAATATGTATTGTGGCAGATCCAGGAGGTTGCTAACAAGAGAGGGGCGTCAACATAAGTATCAATAAATTCTGCCTGGTTTCTCGTGGCAATATTCAATGTTAGGCTAAGGTAACATAACTGTCATATATACCGTACAGGTATGGAACATGCTTGTTTTAAGAAAGGCCTGCCCTGTTCACCTGAGCTTCAGGTTACCCTGTCCTTGGGTATGTCTTTGCATGGGAACCAAAATGATAAAGTATCATACAGTTATTGTCTGTCTTTCTGTGGTTAGTAATCTATAGCTAAGATGGAGATATGGTGATATCAGTTTACAGTTAGAACAATATAGAGGAGCTGAATGTCAGTTTGGACCGGCCTGACAGGAATGGCAGTCCGTTAGGAAGCGTAGTCCTCTCCCCGTTATTTTGTACAGATGACATTCGTCCCACCTGCCCAAAATGAATGAGTAACTCTGTTTGCTTGCTGTGAATAAGGTCAGTTTGACATCGTGACAAGCGTGACAGGAATGGAAGTCCGTTAGGAACCGTAGTCCTCTCCCCGTTATTTTGTACACGTCCCATATTCTTACCCTTATACGACGACTAACCATAACCTGTACTAATAATATGGACTTCCATTCCTAAAGGCCCACCATTCCTGCCACACAGTTTTTTTCCTATTTTGCTGACTGATGCATGAAAACAAGGATTAAAATCTGTTTTTATAACTTATAATATCTTTGATGTCATTGTGACATCAGTTCATTAATTGAATTTGCCAGTGAAGCAATTAAAAATGCATTCCCTATTCTAAGTCACACGACAAACATTAAAAACGAGAATTTAGATCTCCCTATTTTCCAAATTATCGTCTGTTAAAGAGTAACACGCACCACAAAGGACCCTCATGACAGTGTCTAGTCACAGCAATGGTTGCTATTACACAGTGACCTCATCTGGCTCGTACCAAGGCTTTGAAGCGCCAATTAAGGCATTCCTTGGGATAAGTTTTTAGAGTTTCACCAAGAATAACATTCCAGGCATCGGCATCTGTCAAAACTTGTCCAGTTTGGTTCAGTTTTGTTGTAGGACATATAGGCCGTTGATTCGGCGAGTAATGACCTACCCACTTATTGTCTGTTTGGTTCAAATATGGCGATTCTAATGAGCAAGGTAGCTGCTCATTTTCTTGGTTCTGTAAGTTATCTGCTATTAAAAGTGCTCTTTGTGAACCGGTAATTTCATTGTGCACCCTAAAATTGTTCCTAAGGCCCCCTATCAAATGATAGTCAAATGAGAGGCACAGATTTAAAAAAAATGTTTAACACTGCTCAACTCATTTTACGCACTGCAAAACCGACCGCTTGCATGCATGATGTCAAATTCTTCTATGCAGTAGTTGCCGTCATATGGATACTTTTTTGACAGAACCATGCTTCGCCTAAACCAATCTTTGACCAGCCCAAAGGAGCACTACCCAATTGAATCACTGCATATTACACAATGCAGCATTGCAACAAAGATGGTGGTCAGTTAATTAGTAGCGACACACCTGACTACACACTTCTTCATTCACATATCTTATATAAGATTCTTCTACTTTTTGAAAAAGAACGTATTTTTACCTAGGCATGCCTTTGAAAATGAAATGTTCCATATCAAAATGTCAAGTCTGTGCAACTAACCCTAGCCTGTACTAATCATATGGGGCCCCTGACATCCATTCCTATAGAACCACCATTCCTGCCCCACCGGCTCAGACCAACACAACTATCATTATTTATACATAAGTCGAACATAGAGCAACGTTAGATCAACTGTATGATGCACAATCTATTAAAGGGTAATTGTGTTAATGAAATTCAGGACTGCAACCTGCTTCCTGCCCTTCACTGCTACCCTAGGTTTTAGATTCCGGTATTGTCAGCTCGATCTTGATTTCATATACATGTATAACCCATATCAGCAATACCAGGCTCTAGCGAACACCGTCAAGCTGTGGGCGTTCTTCTTCAAAATTTTGCCTGGGGCGCTTGGAAGCCATAAGTCTCGTACGTCACAGGTTTGGCCGCCTGGAGCTGCCTTTCCCACCTTGCGCTGATGTTATCTTGTGCTGACGAGACAAGAAGCAAAGTGGCTGATCATGACGCGGAGTTAGAAGTTTGAATTAAGCATATCTTGCAGTCGAAGGTCAGTGCCAGGAAAACAGTGAATAGAATCTTGAGGAGAAGGGCTGTGACAGGAAATGTGACACCTGTTAAATCTACGGGTAGACCGCGAAGTGGAAACACCAGAAGTGATCGTGTCATCATTAACCTGGCAAGAAGAAAGTGGACAAAACCTACCAAAGCCAGTGCCTTGGAGCTACAGGCCCGACGTTTGGCTTGATTGTCTCGCCATGGCTACGCTTCAAGAATAATGGTGGAGAAACCACGCCTGACACCTGCCCATCAAGCAAATAGGCTGCAGTGGGCGCGCCATAACCGTAACCTCACGGTCCAACATTGGAATCTCGGGGTGTTTGCTGGTGAGTCCCGTTTTCCACTGTATCCAACAGATGGAAGAATGAGAGTGCGTAGTCTCGTTGGAGAATGGCTGTTGACTGAAAATATCCAAAAAACAATAGCTGGGGGGGTGCCAATTGCAGCAACGGTATTTGCCCATTACTTCCTCTGGATGAAAACCTTAACGCTGCCAGATACCGGGACATTCTCCAACAGAACCTGGAGCCGTTTGCAAGAGGGATATACAGACACAAATTTTGGATTGCAACATGACAACGCAACTCCCCATACAGCCCGCTAAATTAACGACTATATCTGCCAAAACAAGATTCAGCTCATGCCACAGCCAGCAAGCAGCCCAGATGTATACCCAATTGGGACAAACTTGGTAGTGCTATTCAAAGGAGAAACCATCCCGATGCAAATTTAGATCAACTTCGAAATGTCCTTCAAATTGAAAGTACCACAATTCCTCTCCAAAGAGCTGTGGCTCTAGTTCACATGCAGTATTCCACGCCGTCACATGCAGTATTCCGCGACCATTATCCAAGCTTGCGGTGGAGCATTCCCCCTACTGCGATTAATAACTTTGTCTGAAGGGTTTTTATGACAATCTTCCCAAATTTCATCTTGATTGTCGATCACAATACAAATTTATGTTTAACTTTTGTTTTGTTACTGTTGAGTAAAAACATACTCATTTTGGAGGGATAAAACCTAAATAAATAAACGCTTTTCTTACATTTGCATTGTTTGTTTCTCTTTCACTTTCCTAATCCTCCAGCGTCACATATTTAGCAATATAAGCGGTACAATTTTGGTAATAATAATAATTATGAAAGAAACAGGGCGAAACGTATACCGAAATTTCCGTGTACCAACCATTTTGAGCAAGAGCGTATGTGTAAAATGTATACAAAATAACCTGTGAACAATAACGTGGAGTATACCAATTCCCCGAGTTCATAATAGCATGTCGTAATGTTGTTTAATTTTTCAGTTCACAGTCAAGACGTGTGGCTGCAGTGTTCAGGTTACTCTGGTTATCGTGGGATTGCCAACGAAACTGCCAAGTACTGGTCTGGTATAGAGCTGGTGACAAACTCTTCTGTGAAAGGAATAAGTGATCTCCAATATGTCGACATCGAATTCGCTGGTCTTCCTAACATCGGGACGCACTCAAATGATACAGCAGCCATATCGATTAGTGGAATCCCACCTGTGCTTGATAACCTGAATATCACAAATGTCATCGGAAATGGTGTTCTACTCAGAGATATAACTGGACATGCGGCGATCAACAATAGTAGCATTGAGAACAGCATGGGAAACGGGGTTTCCTTCAGAAGCTATGGTGGTAACCTGGCACTGGACAATGTCCAGATTTCTAATGCCCATAAAGCAGGTTTATATTACAACAGGACATTTCCGCTGCCCTCCTATAAGATGTGTCAACTGCCGGAAACAACGGTTCCTGATGGAGAACCGCTCATAGTCAGCTTTGACAGTACTGACCTTCATCTGGGGTCAAAGTCTTCCTGTTCTCAGGTAGGCCACTCGATACTTATTAGACCTTTACAGCTCACTGATTTGTTATATTTAAGAATTAGCTTGTTCAACGCGGAGCCTATATTGTAAAAAGAACGTTCCACAAAAGTTTCTGGCCATACATCTTTACATTTTGAGTAAATAATCATTCAGCTCAAGCGTTGAATTATTTAAGTACATGGGTAGATTATAGTAGTTACGCAAGAGACGTTGTTTCATAAAACACGTGTTTTAATTAGCTGTGTTCCATCATATAGGTGTTTCGAAGTCAAAAACCAGGGTATATTTTGGCGGTGCGCGTACTATATATAAGGGCACGTTGGTATACTCGCCGTAACGTACTGGATATATTTGATGGAAACAGTTCGTCCTCCCGGCGGCTGGAGAGAGTGTATACGTACGGTGCCGAGGTAAACATGCCGTCTCCTCTCTACACTACCGGCGGCTCAGTCTTGCTGTCATTTTCACGACTAGATATTGGCTCTAGCGAACGGTATCAAGGAATGTTTACAGTACAGTCCGTTGCCGGTGAGTTAACATTAAATTTGAGAAAGAAAACTTTCTCTTGTCTCTTTTCAACACATACAAATGTATGCTTGAATTTTTTCATTACTAACAGATCCAAACATTTCTCAAGAATCGTGAATTGACCAATAGAGTTTATACCCTATGAAAATCTCCCTTGAATTAACTATATATATATATATATATATATATATATATATATATATATATATATATATATATATATGGCAAGCGTGGGTGTGGTACAGAGTGCTCAACTGTCAGGAGGTGTTTATTTGAAAACCTCAAATAAACACCTCCTGCCGATCGGGGATACCTTCTGGGTATGCCCGTGAAACTCGGAGTCGGGGTTGATACATGTCTCTTGTTATGTCACTAAATATATATATATATATATATATATATATATATATATATATATATATATATATATATATCAGTGCAAATGACTAATGATTCAATTTCAGTAGGTCATGCTTGTCATAATGGCAGCATATGCAGCTAAATTTCTCATGAAAATTTTCGATATGAATTTGCTATCGTAACATAAAAGTTATCTATATAAACCGTGTATGCCTTTTTACAGCTTATTCAGGTCACCCTACTGGGTTATCAATGAATAGCGTCAAAGTTACAAAGTCTGGATATGGCACTTTTATCGAGAATCAACTGCAACCAATTGGCATATCAGGGACTCGTGTGGCACATTCTTCAGAGACAGGTCTGTACGTTGGTAAAGGATCCGGTACTTTTGTGCTTCAGGACAGCGCCTTTGTGAATAACATGAACCATGTGTACTTTGAACACATCCAGAGGAATGTTACCGTGAAGAACAGTGAACTCATTATCTCCTCTAACTATGCTTTGTCTGTTGGCACCACCCCAGTGTGGACATTATCAGATAAAGTCAGCTTCATTATTCAAAACAACACCCTGATGGATAATACATTTGGTATATCAGTGCTGCGAGCCAGACAGTGTGCCCTAACAGACAATGTGTCCGACAGTGTCTTTCACAATCAAAGCGAAACCGCCCTCAAGTTGGGGTCTGGTTCTGTATGTGGAACAAACAGACTAAGAACCATCCAAGTGAATAAGAATTATATTTCTAAAACAAAAGGAACTGCGGTTTTATTAATAGAAACTGACACCCAAATACTCAACAACACATCCGATAATGACGTGTCCCAATGTGTTCTTTGTATTTCTGCCTCCAGTGTATTTGTGACTGGAAATAAATTTAGAAACAACAATGTAAGAACGGAAAACAAAAGACATAAGGTTGGTGCTATCATGGTCTTGATAAAATTTCCGAGTAGTTTCACATTCACAGACAATGTTTTCGAAAACCTGTTGGGCGAATATCTACTGACCATTTGGTACGAGAATTCCGTCCTTAGAACACTAGATGTGTCACGAAATTACTGGGGAACACCAAACCCGCAAGATGTTTACTTGGGGATTATTGATAATACAAAACGCTACACTCTGAGAACCCAGTTTCTGTACACCCAGTGTACTCTGAGAACCCAGTTTCTGTTCTATATCACGTCTGATCTCTCCAGTTTGTCCCCAGCAACTATAGAAGTGGACCCAGCCCCAACTCCCCACACACTCGGTGGCCGCATATACACCGACCTTACTCTAAAGGACACAGGTAGACCGTACACAGTGACACATGACCTGAACGTGACAGCCAACGCCACACTTACCATTGAACCAGGAGTGGTTTTAGAATTTGAAGATTCTGTGGGGATGTACATTGAAGGAAGACTTAATGTCAGTGGAACAGAGGGTAAGAAGTGCATCTTCACGGCCAGGGGAAAGTTGGCTACAACGAATGTCATATATAAATCAGATTTTGGTAAATTTTCGTTGCTTCGAGGACCCTCGCAATCATATGACGCGGCATCGTTTTATGGACTACTTTACGGAGAAGAAAACGGAGATAAATTGCCAGTTTGTTATGATTCTTCATTGAGAGGGCCGATGTTGACAACATGGTTGGACGGAGAATGCAGGCGACTTGGGTATACTTCTCTTAGGCACATGAGCTCGATTTCTGATACGGCTAAACTGGGGTTAAAACTAAATTGTGCTGGGACGGAAACAGACTTTGAAAATAATTGCTTTACAGGTATGCAAAGATACAGGTGCACTTCGTTCTTCAGAGTTGTGTGCACCAAGCATTCGCGAGAGACCACGTGGGCAGGTATACGATTAGGTCTGACGGCTCGTCCCAGCTCTATACAACATGCGGTGATGCAGTTTGCTGGATACTTTGACTCCGGGTCACGTAGAAAAGGTCCTTCTTTACAGGTGGATTTCAACCGACATATTGTAGACAACGTGGTCATCCTTACCTCTGGGGGAGGCATTCGACAACTCTATGTAGAACAAAGTATGACTAACATGGTGATAGCAGACATAGATAACAACGCCTTTGAAACATACACACTGAGTGCAACTCTGAGGGATTCACGAAGAGAAGACATAAACTCATATGCTGTATTATTTCAATCAGGACAACCCAGTAGGACAATGACAGCGTACTTTACTCCCTATAAAGAAGACTGCGGTGTAACATATCTGGCCAGTGAAGGCGATATGGTCCCATTCCATCAATATATAAATACGCGTACACAATGCGGTACCTTTACAACCAGGTCAGACCTCAGACTACGGGTTTTTATCATCTACCCTGGTTATCATGACTTCAAGCTCCTTTTGACAGATACAGTGAAAAACTGGACAGTAGGTCTGAACTCGTTGGATTCCGTTATCACCACCTCTACTAACACGCTACAGTTCCTGAAGGGTTGGAGAAACAGCTGTACTTGGTGCTATGTAGATGTTAACGCAATAGTCATGGCGGTGAAAGGTAAGCACGAGAAACTAATACGCGTAAACTTGTAATTAGATATGATAGTTGGCTCAAACGCATCGTCTAACTCAGTAATTGTGTCGTAATTTTTTTCTGTCATATATTGATATGCAGTTTACCAAGTCCAGAAACTGCACTGCGATAAAAAGCATCGCGTTTCTTGCTGCAGATAACATATTTGATAGAGAGAAAAAAAGAAACTTTCTAAGTTTTCCGGTATTAAAATGATTTTTGAAATGTATAGATATACCCCACTAGCGCTAATTGCAACTTGGTATATTATAAAACAGCGCTATTGTTTCGAGATGGGAAAATACAATGAGAAATATTTGCTTGGCCAAAAACGCTTGGGAATGTGGAACTACATTAGATAGACATTTAGATAGACGGAGAGATAACCATACAGAACCATTAAATGGAATATCATAAATATTTAAATTATATAGCATGTTAGTCAACAATTGAGCTAAAGCAACTTAATATATCGGCTGTAATGATATTATGTAATCATATTCATGGACATTATTTGTCTACATACATGTAAGGTGTGGTCATTTTGAGGATGACGTAAAAGCACCGGTTTTGGCGTTAAAGTGCTGTTCGTGGGTTCGTTATGTTCAATATTAATTACCTTGGCTAGGAACACAAAAATCCATATAGACTGATACACACTAAGAAGATGAAATAATGATTAAGGAACGCAAATGAGGCGAAATAATGACATATTTAGGGGATAAAATCTATGGTGTGATCATCTAAGGATATTTGTAATTTTCAGACGACCTTCCACCATACTAACCAAGTTTAACATTGGACAAGGTAATAATCAGTGGCTCCTCCACAGCAGTACACACACTGGACAAAAGAAGTGTCACCCCTACTGAGCCAATACTATGGGGGAGATAAATGACTGTGGAATGATATGCTCCTGGTATCATTTTATTAACATCAAATTTCACAAAAAATCACAAAATGAGAACAAAATATACATTCTACCAAAATATGCAGTTTCAAGTCCAAAATTAGTACTTAGTGGCATAGCCACGTGACCTTTTAATAGGTGCCAGTCTACGAAGCAAGGTTTCATATAATTGTCTGATGCGTTCAGGGCTTATGATGGCCCAAGCATGAAACACTGAATATAACAGAGTTTCTCTGCTGGTTAGACGGGCATTTGTCAAAAGTTTTGACATATCATTCCACACATTTTCTATTATGTTTGCATCCGGACTCTGGGCAGGCCACATCACCCTGCGAATGTCCTGTTGGTCAAACCAATCATCAACTGCTCTGGGCCCGTGACAAGGAGCANCGACCCATCAGAGGCATTTTGTCTCTTGATCCAGTGTTTCTATACCGAGACCAGACCCTCTGCACGGTTCTAACTGAACAATTCAATTGTATCGATATTCTGACATTGCTTATATTCCGCCTCTTCAGGTTAATAACTTCCACATATAACCGTTAGATAATTGCCTGTATCTTGCCATATTGGAGGAAGACGGGAATAACATTTGCTGTACATGTACAAGACCAACAATACAATTCAATGGTATGGCGGTTTTATACTCATTAGTCACAGTATAAGTAGACCAGGTATTATAAATACCCAAGATCTGCCTACTTTTATTACTCTGAGTTAGGGGGTGACACTTCTTTTGTCCAGTGTGTGTATATGGCCGATATCGAGGCTACACTAATGGAATACGGACTGACAGGAAACATCCAAACTACCCTGATGTGGGACAAGTGGGCGTTGATATAAAAGACTCAATTATAGTAGGAAACTAAAGATTGATGAACGCTTGGTTATCCAAAGTATCGAATGTTCCAATGGTGAATGAACTGTTACCATTATTCGCCATCTCAATCAAAAACACAACCTTAGATTCCAATGACTATGGAATTTATATAGATAATGGCCGTGGAAATCGAGAACAGTTAACCATTGATGGGTGTAAGATCAGAAATACCAGGGAAACATTGTTACAGTACAGTGTCCGGGAAGACAACCCCAAAGATGTGGACATCCAGTTTTTGAATAACGAAATCACTGACAACAGAGGGAGTGTACTTGACATCAGTGGTGGTGCTCTACATATGACAGTATCGGGGAATAACATCACAGACAATGAATACAGCTCTGGGTCAATGACCTTATACCGGGGATATGAAAAGACAATACAGTTTGTGAACAATGATATATTTGGTAACCATTACAGAAAAATCATCGTCATGAATATGGAGGAATCAACCTATGATCTAAACAAAACCCCAAACGTTGGACTGGTAGGGAATATCCTTGCTAACAACACTTATTCATACGGCAACAGCGAACGTCGGCCATCACAGCCCCCAATGTCAGCTGCACTCGTTTTAGATGGTTATGGAAATGTCTGCGTTCAAAACAACACGCTTCAAAACCCGGGCCTAGAGGCAGAGGTGTATGTCAAGACTCACTCTACAAAATGGACAGACACCATTGAAGCCAGGTACAACGTGGGGATGTGAAAATACCCATTGCGTGAGAAAACGTATATATGATGCACACAGCGACATGTATCTGCCGGAAGTGCAAGTACTTCCATTTGTGTCAAGATCGAACGAGATGGTGTTCACTCCTGACGTCACAGAGGGACTTCCACAAGGAAACGTCCTTGGCGGGTGGCTGAACAAGTCCATCACATTAGAAGCAGCAGGTTCTCCATTCTATCTAAAAGAAGATTGGACTATTTTACCTGGTGTTGAGGTTTTCATTGAACCTGGTGTTTGGATTAAGCCAGCAAGGGACAAAGGGATCCTCGTTCTGGGACAGATAGTTGCCAGGGGAGAAAAGGGAAAAAGGGTTGCCTTTGGCTGTCAATACCAAACAGCTTATTGTTCTTATTGGCAAGGATTGGTGTTTGCATCAGATGACGTCAGTACTAGCCCTTCGGAATTGCTCTTTGTAGACGTTTTTAATGCAGGTTACAAAGGGAACACGTACGGCGCAGCTGTGCAGTCTTTCAGCCCCAGTATAATCATACAGAACTCACGAGTGATCCAGTCCAGGTTGAACGGTATTGAACTAATTGGACCAGTAGTGAAATCAAGCATCATTAAACGAAACGAGTTCCTTAACAACAGAGGTGTTGGGATAAACGCTATTGTGGCTTACCCAAGAAGTGTACCACTCAATACCAGGGTCAAACGAGAATCTGCGGGATGGCCAAGTGACCTTTATGGGGTCAATGATATTTGCGAAAAAACTTCCAAAATGCTCCTTGTTAACGACAGAACTGTGGTTTATTATTCTCATGGAAAACAGCACGGAGGATGTTATTATAATTGCACGCGTGCAATACGTTCTGAACTTGGACGGAATATCACAATCCAAATTTTACAGTTTAATCTGCAACGTTTTCAACTGGAAATATTCGAAGGATCGTCTCCTCTTCTCTCAAGGCGACTTCGAATTCTTTATGCTGACCAGACAAACGATTCACTTCCTTCAGATGTTCCAATAAACAGTTCCAGTGTAACCATCCGGTTATATAGCAGTGTCAGGAGCTGGGACACGTATGGTTTGCAAAGCATGGTCTTTGGTATCAAGATCTCCAGTGACACATCCACAGGTAAGATGTACATTAACACATATACATCCTAGTAGCATGTCATTGTGGTACTTGGCACTCTTACAAAGACTTTATCGTTCTTAAAGATAATTTTTTTTTTATTTACAGTATGTTAAAATACAAGTACACGTGTATATTTTACATGTTTCATAACCCATACTATTTGGTTTGCCTTTCAGGATCTATCGGCAACTTTGTCATCGAGGAAAACACTTTCTTTAACAATGGTCTAGGTGGAGTGAACATAACTACATTTGAACAGAGTAATTGGGATATAAACATCAATAAAAACATATTCCACAGAAATGGACTTTCGACTTCCAACCGAGCTGAACATTCCAAAGCAGCTATTCGGCTTAATATCGCTAACACCAGTGCTACATTGGCAAACAATTACATGGAAGGGAACCATGGTGGCATCCACGCCACGACTCACAGCGTATTCCAAAACAATAAGTTGAACATTTGGAGCAACCAGATTCTCTTTACAACTCAGATAGAGAACATACTGGTTGCAGAAATAGAGGACGGCCCTCACACACAGCAGTGCAGTATAGATGGGAATGTGATACAGCACGGACAGGGAGATAGGTACAGTGATGTCCTCCACCTGGAGGGTGTGTCTGGAACCGTCACAAACAACTACATCTACAACAACACAGGTCTACATGTGATGTGGTGGACAACACCAGCCAATAGGAACACGAGTGAAGTCACCACTGACAACATCATATATTACAGCATTGCAAGAGATGCAAACAATATGGCGGCCATAGTTTCTGGTGGCTCATCATCGTTTCTCCATGACAATGTTTTCCAAAACCCTACATTTACATTCGAGATGACAAGTGAAGGGTCCTCTTCAACTGTGAATGCGTCTTCCAACTGGTGGGGTCTGACAGAGCATGCGAAGATCAAGCAGAGGCTACGAGACAAAGGCACGGGGTTCCTATACCCCGAGGTCTCCATACACCCAATCATCGAGTCCATGTCTTCTTACCAAACAGGTGAGGAAGTTTTCAACACTGACACCCCTGTAGCTGAAACAAGTCATATTTGCATTTTTTAAAACTTTTATTCGGTTATATCATGATGTCTGTTGGTTATTTTAAATGAAAAAGTTGATCCGATACCTTAATTATGTTTCATGTGATTTCGACATTGTATTTCTTGAATTACCTTTGGTATATATTGCTAGGATAACAATAATAGTACATTAATAATAATAATAATAACAAAAATTAAGTTTAAAAAATCAACTAAAAGTTTGAAGTTGAACAGATAAATGGACTGGGATAAAATTTACAAAATAAAATATTTACATAAAGGATATACAAAATCTAAGCTTTCAAAGGCCTGATTATCCTTTCTTTGTATTAAAGCATTAACTGGCAATATCTTACGATTTTTGTTTATATTGTTATATTTCAGGGCCCAGCGTTTTCCCTGCTGATTACCCCCGTCAAATAACAAAGTGTCACGTATAGTAGGGCAGTTCATTCCCGACTCCAGAGTTTGTCGGCGGTATTACAGCTGCACTGAAGGTGGCGTTATTCCCAAGATGTGCCCAAACCATCTTGTCTGGAATCCAGAAATACAGGAGTGTGGCAGAGACGGTTGTGAGCCACAGGAAGCTTCTGGTAGGTGGTTTGGTACTCGGCTACAATGAATACAAAAATACACTCGTTTTGAACGTTATTTGAAAAACCATATGTGTTTTTCCCTAAAGGGATATTTATAAACCATATATCTATCTATCTGGTAAATCTAAAACAATCAGAACTGGTTTTCTGGTAAATCATTCTAGATCTGGTAAGCTGCTGATGATACAGAATTCATCTGTTCTAGATTCGTGTCCTCTTGCGTGGCTGCAGAATAAGATGGTGTGTTACTTGTACGTCGGAGGAGCACAAAACTTCACTCAAGCTCGCGTTTCTTGTGAGGTATGCAATTGACATTTATTCATCAAGTCGTTGGTCTACGAACAATAATGCTTGAAAGGATAAATATTGTATTCAGAGAGGGACATAGCAAATATTTGATGAAGTTTGTTAGACAACAACATTCATTGGTAACTTATATACATGTATGCATTTACTTTGTTCAAGGGTCAATACAGTATGTTGGTGAATCTTGCCACGAAGTCTGAGCGGGCCTTTGCAATCAGCATACTACGGTCACGAGCGGTGGGAGAGCGCAGTTTTGGCATATGGACGGAGACATGGTATAAGGTGTGGCATTTTGTGTTCTTCCATCCGGTTTTGAATAGAAAAGATTGACAATGACAAATGAAATACAGGCATAACAGGAGGTTAACAATATCAATATGTAATATGTGGCATGTTACACTGTTAGCATACATGTTATAAAACAAATACATACATACATGGGATAGACGGTAGTGAGGGTTTGGATTTTATGTTTTTATTAGATTATTTTTCGAATTATCTACTCGCATACATGTATCTTTGTAACGGTTTCCAGGAGGACGGAAAATGCCCACTGGTCAATTTGTCGAGTATTGACGGCAATGCACATATCTACAAAGATGATTGTTTCAGTCTTTCTCCGTATATTTGTAAGCGGTCCGCAGGTAATAATTTTACTGCATACTAAGGCCACACTTTTTTAATTTTATGGATGACATCCTGCGGGCGAACCGATTTTCGTCCGTTCTCCAAAAAAAAAAAAAAAAAAA